CGGGAGGGCGGCAGCCCTCGGCTGAGACGACGTAGCCGAGGTAGATGAACTCCTTCTTGGCCAGCACACACTTGTCCGGGTTGATCCTGATCTGGGCCGACCGCAGCGTGGAGAGGAGCGTCCTGAGGTGGTCCAGGTGTTGGTCCTCGCCGTGGGAGGCGACGATGATGTCGTCCAGGTACGCTCGCGCGAAAGGAAGGTCTCGGAGCAGGTGGTCCATGGCTCTCTGGAGCGACTGGGCGGCGTTGCGCAGGCCGAGCGAAGACCTCGTGAATTCGAACAGGCCGAATGGCGTCGTGATCGCAGWTTTGTGCGCGTCCTCCGGGGCGATCRGGAGCTGGTAGAAGGCCTTCTTTAGGTCGATGACCGAGAARGTGTCTCCCTGGAGTTCCAGCAGCATGTCCTCTATGATGGGCAGCGGGTAYTTGTCGGGMACRGTGCGGTCGTTGAGCTGACGGTAGTCYCCCGTGATKCGGTAGGAGCCGTCCGGTTTTGCCACCAACAGGAGCGGGCTAGCCCAGGAGCTCTTGGATTCMCGTACGATGCCCATGTCGAGGAGGGCCCGGAATTCTGCGCGGGCTGCTTGAAGGCGCTCGCCGTGGAGGCGGCGGGGACGTGCCGCTGCTGGAGGCCCTGAGGTGGTGATGTGRTGGCAGACGTCCAAATTTGGCAGGGCCACGGTCGTACTCCCCGGAGTGGCCAGGTCCTGGAACTCCCGAAGGAGGTCCGCGAAAGTCCCTTTGGCGACGGTTGGCGGGATGATGACCGCGACCGAATAAATCTGGGCCGGGAGGATTGTGCCGGCCGACTGGTGGATGAGGTCCGCGTCGAGGAGCCTCCTGTTCTGCAGGTCCACTAGCGCCCCCTGGATTATACTGTGCAGGACGTCTCCACGTCGCTCCGTATTTTAACAGTGGTAACTTGTGCATAAGTGCTTTATCTAATTATAAATTTGTGATTAGCGTAAAGCGTGAAAAAATCTGAACAAACTAGTATATTAATTTATATTGGTTTAAATACTTAAAGAGAAACATTAGCGAAAAACTTTTTCGTGTTCTCTGAATACTGTGCGGCCATCTTGTATAAACTTTCCGGTCGGAAATTTATCCCGCGCGCGTGTTGCGCCGCCTTGCGCCGCAGCGTTACACTACTCTTTCGAAGCCTTGGACGCACCAATCGCTGGGCGTCTTGTGACTTTGAAAATGAGTCGGCCAATAAGCGATCTGGATTTTCCAGTCCTTAAGGCTAAATCAGTAGAAGAAATGGAGATTGGTGATGTAAATACTCCTTGCAAAATTAAAAAG